ATCAATCATCAACCTGAAATTTGGTCCACGTATTCATGAACCACTAGCAATCGTAGACAAATTCTTGGCATTTGTCAGCCTATTTTAGTTGAGGTTAGTCAACTAATTTAAAGCTAACTTTTTTTTTTTGGGTTCGAAACCATTAAAAGCTGGCTTCTAATCTACTAAGTTATCAAATTGGTTAATTTAATTTTTAAATTTTAAATAATAACTGAGAAAATACTCGCCTGAAACAGATAAAAGTTAAAACTCAATAAAATATTAGGGAAGAATAATGTAAGATAAGTTACCGAAATGTGTGGGTGTTGGAGGATGACCATAATAAAAGAATTCCAAAGAAACTCATTAAAACTCAAGCTTATGCAATTGGCTATTGGCATAATATAATATATGAATTAACCAGCTCTTATCTCAATGGGGTTTTTTTTACCTCTAAATCTACTCAAAACAAATTGGAAGTGCCAAGTAAAAAAAAGGAAAAAATAAATTACAGCGGCTCATATAACCATGAGCTGGGGGAACCCTAACGGCGGGTGGGGAGATAACGGCGACAGAAGCGGCAAATTAAACAGCCCGTCCTTCACATCGCCGCCGTCCCAAACTCCCGTCCAACTCGACGGCGTCACCACCACCACCGCCTCCTCTCTCTTCACACTAACTCCTCCTCCTCCTAATCTCTTCGCTTCTCTCTCTTCAACTCCTCCGCCATCCTCCTCCTCCTCATCCCTCTTCCGCTTCTCTTCTCCAGCGCGTGCTTCGCACACCCCGGCCTCGAGAGGGAAATTGAGGATCGCCTTGGTTCCCCGGAGCCGGAAGGCGGCTCGGTCGTAGGCTTGCGCGGCTTCGAGTGCCGTGTCAAACGTCCCGAGCCAGACCCGAGACCCCTTATGGTTCGGGTCACGGATCTCCGCCGCGAACTTGCCCCACGGCCTGTACCGTACCCCTCTGTAATGCTTCTTCTTCTTCTTGTTGTTACCATCCTTCTCTTCTTCTACAACCGCTACGGGCTGCACCGGTTTCGGGTCGGGTTTGGAGAACTGGATCCACTCGGTTTTGACCGGTAGCGAGATCTTAAGCGACGGTTTTCGCTTTAACGGAGAGAAAGAAAGGATCTCCGGTTTAGGTTCGGCTTCCCTTTCCTGAGTAAGAACCCGAGGCATGGATTCGAATTCGAAGAAATCGGTGCTCGGTTCGGTTTTGATTTCGGGGTTTGGTCTGGGCTGGAATTCAAATTTGGCGGGAGTGGAAAGATTAGTTATTTCCGGTTTGGTTTCGAGAACAACCGGGAGTAGAGAACCCGGGTCGGATTTTTGGTAAGGATTGGCTTCTGCTTCTACAGTCAATGGTCTGTTAATGTAAGAATTGGAAGTTGAAATATTAGTGGTTGAAGACGAGGAAGAAGTGGTAGCTACGGGAGACAAGAGGTCGCTGAACAAATGTTGCTTGATCAACTCCAAAACCGATGACATTTGCTGCTCGCTCCCCATGTTTCGGGTCGCGATATGTTGGATACGAGAGACTCGAACTCGAAACCTTGTGTTGTAGATGTTGAAGGTGAGACTCTAACTCGAAACCTCGTATCCTATTTTTGTGTGTTGAGAGCGCTTTTTGTTATGTTTTTTTTTGGATAGTGTTTTGAGTGTGGGAGAAGGAGTAGGATGGGTATATATAATTGGGGAGGGAAGAAGGGAGACTTTTCCAAAGGGAATTCGTTTGACCAGAAGAAGGAGAGCATCATGGCTTGATCTGTTGTCTTTTTCAAAGTGTACAATTTCAACGAAGAATTTGAAGAATTCTTAGCTTTTGGTGTGTTTTGCACCGTTGGATTGAGTTGAAATGATGGAAGTCAAGGGAACAATCTGATGGCTAAGTGGGGTCAAGTGGGGTACTTACATTGGATCATTATTGCTTTGATGTTGTTTGTTTATTTCAGTAATATTATTACTTTGTCTTGGCTCTGGCCATGTTTCTTGTTTCGTGTGTGGTTCGCTGATCACAAATGCATGAATGTTGTAGGCCACTATAAGAAATAAAAAAGTATACATTTCGCAAGTGGGTTATACAATAATGTAACAGTAACTGTTGGGGATATTTGGGTTATCACAGATTAGGATTTTGACAACCTTGTTAAGATTTGATTAATGTATCTGGTTAAGTACTAAGATTCTGGGTTAGCAGAGAGGTTTCAGGTTTATATCACCTGTGATCTTTATTTAGCTGTGGTTGCTATTCGATCAGATTATAGAATAGTGTAAACATAACTGTTGGGGATATTTGGGTTACGGCAGATTAGGATTGGACAAGCTAGTTAAGGATTGAATAATGTATGTGGTGGTGTATTAGGCTTCTGGATTACGAGAGAGGTTTAAGATTAATATTTGGGCATGAATCACTGGTGACGTATGATTCCATCATATTAATCTAAGCTGAGGTTTTTATTCTTTGCGTGTAGATTTTTGAAACTGAAAGATTCCATTTCTAGGGACCAAGATGTATGTATTGTGTATGAGCTTACGACTTGCATATGACACAAATAATTAAGTTATAAGGAAGTATACATTTATGTTACTTTATGTTTGAATCAACTGGAATTCATGGGTTTAATTAGGGGTGGCAAAATGGGTGACCATGGGTACCCATGGGTTGGGTCATAATGGGTCATACCCATTTATACCCATTTATCCATTTATGACCCGTTAAAAAATTTAAATGGATACCCAAACCCATTTAAACCCATTTAATGTGGGTTACCCATTTATCTATTTAGACCCATTTAATGTGGGTATACCTATTTACTCATATAATATTATTACTTAATATATAATTTTAAATTTTGTATTTTAAATTTTTTTAACTTTATGAATATTAATCCGACCTAGTTATTAACCCGGCAAAGCCAATACGAGCCTAACTAGGCACGAACGAGATGTGCTCTGTCTGGTATAAATTGGCCCATATGAGCCCAACTAGGTCTGTATGATTTGGACTATGTTGGGCCCAACTAGGTCCACACTGGGCCCATATAGGCCCATATCTGGCCCAACTAGGCCATATAGGATGGGCCGGAACGGGCCCAAATAGGCCCATCCGAGCAAAATCGGGCCTATATTGGTTGGGCCAAGATGGGCCCAATAGGCCCAATTAGGCCCAAATGGATTGGGCCCATCTTGGCCCACGTGGATAATTGAATTAGATTACTAATATATGGGTTCATGGATATCCATTACCCAACCCATATAAACCCAATATTTTATGGGTTAAATGGATAAATTATCCAATTAGACCCATATAAAATTATACTGACCCATTTATACCCATTACCCATTTATCTATGGGTTAAATGGGTAACCCATTGGGTACCCAACCCATTTTGCCACCTCTAGGTTTAATCCACCAATTAACGTAGTTCGAGTCAACTAACAAACAAAGTGTTGGTCTATGTAGTAAGCAACCTTCGTATCTCCGCAAGGAGGAGAACTCAAGTTCGAGTCTCGGGAAGTAAGAGTAACCTTCATAGCCTCGGAATTGCGAAGAGTAATGCCTCCCACAATTTTTATCAGAAAAAAAAGGTAGTTCAAGCCAAATTTGTTCTTGATATGGCCAACTTGTGTTGTTTGTTGTCTTTAGGGGACTGCTGCTCCCTGATTTGGTCTTAGAATGTGTAATAGCGTAGGTTTTTTGATTTGGATGAATCCCACGTGGTTCAATTAACGTAGGAGAAGAAATTCAAGAATTTAACCTTGTTTGTAACCAGCTAGGTTTCATACTCTGAACAGATAAGAAGTGACAGATTACTTTGTTTGTTGATATCGTTTAGGTTTGACAAATTTGTTACATTTCTATGTCACATGAAATTTTTTTTATGAGGAGCTATTATGTGATTATGATATGCAAGTAAAAGGTCAATGAAAGTTGATATAATTGAAATATGGGAAGCAGTCAATGGTCGTAGGTGTATTTAATTAATATTTTTACGGATTCCCTGGCTTCTAATAACTAGCTAGAGTCTCAACTGCTCTCACCATTTTTATTTAATGCAAACAGAGATAGGAAGAAATTTTGTAAACCAAGTCTAAATAGCAGAAAGAATGGGTCTTAGCCTTAGGCGCATCTCTTGGGCAAAGTAAACCAGACAAGAAAAAAGCATGCTACTACTAATGGTAAGCAACGGTTTGTGTTAACTATACCATTTATCTAAGGAAAAATGAATCATTTGTATAATCTAGAGTACTAGTTATTTACCCAAAAAAAATCTGATAACAAAAAGGCCCTATAGTTATGCTCTTTTCTAATATGGGAAAAAAGAAATAACAGGATGACTTACTATGCATTTTAGTCCTCATGTTCCATAATAAAAATTAGATCAACAATTCCCTCTTCTGTTTTTTTTTTTTTTTTTTCTGTTGGAGAGAGTGGAAGGGCTGAAGCCCAAAATCTTCCAAGCAACATTAGGCCTACATGCCACTGCATCCAAGCACATCTGGAGAGGCATACACCAGGACCATCAAACTTATATTTTGGACCAAAGATTTAGGCCTTTATAGAATACTTCTGTGATTATATGGGATAAACAGTACAGAACACTGATGTGATATCAAGAGACCAAGATTTCATTAAGCCCAACTAATTACCTGATGGCATGGATTCTGGATGATTGATTTTTCTTCAGGGTCTCTGTTATAGGGTGAGATATTGTATCGTACAAGAAGACTTAAAAGGCCACTGAAACTGTGTGCATGTCTACTACGTGTTTAAGAGAATGAAGATTACATGTGTTTAGCCATCTTTTATGCACTACTGCAAGGCAAAATGTAAGAACGTTTAGTGTAAAGATGGGAAGAAAAATATTAGATGTTAATAGCTACATGCCAGACTTATCTGCCTTCATGGAATTCTCAGTGGAGCATTCATGAAGAAGACTAGATCTCAATTCAATTTGGTTAAACAGAGGACAAGTAACAGGCAAAAAACAAGGGAAGAAGATTTTTGAAAATAATGCATGCTCTTGTTGAGAGTCGAACTCAAGACCTCCCGCTTACTAAACGGGTGCTCTAACCAACTGAGCTACAAGAGCAGACATTTTCATGATTTTACAATTTTTTATTTTGAATGCTCTAATTGGGTTACAGGCTTCTTTTTTTAATCTCCATTGGTTGCCTGATTGTCTCCCTCCTAAGGGTGTAACAGAGTTTGATAACATGAAAATTGAATTGGAAACTGAATTTTATGGTTGATGACTAGCCTGGAATATATATTGACTATCGTAGTTAATCAAATTTAATTAAACAAAAAAGCACTTTCCTTGGAAAGTTTGGGCATCAACTTTTCCAAATTTCCTCTTAATCATCCTCCATGAAGTTAAAACAGTCATATTAAAGAGGGATTCTATTGACAAGGATTATGCCAAAGTGATTATTACTACAACATAGGTGTAGATTTCATATCCCCAAAATCGTTCTAAGAAAATAAAGAGTGATGGACGTACAGTGCCAGATCAAAAATCTTTAAGGTAGTGTTTTTTTTGGTCGAAACCGGGAAGTATATTTAAAAATATACATGAGCTGATTACATGGTTAGAAGTCGGTAGCTCAAAACGACTCCTATCTTATACAAAAGACATGCTGATAGCAATACAGAAACAACATGATAGGAAATCAACATCCCGGATACTCGGGACAGGAAAAGCATCCAAAATACAAAATATCAAGGTAGTGTTTATTTTGGAATTGTACACTTTTTCCTTTGCTGATGCAGAACTTTATGGAAGTTTTTTCAATATTTTCTATGAGATCAAACTTTTTTCCAACAGACTAGGCATGAAGCTATACATTGACTGTCCAGTCAAAAAATTCAAGTTGCATTTTCAAAAGCTAATTATTACTGTTGAACTCGTGGTTCCAATAACAGATTGAGTTTCAAACTTTTAATCCATGAAGATTTAGAAAAATGGAATGCAAACTTTGGCACATGAATTGAAAAGAGTGAATGATTTTAAGCCCATTCCTAAAAGAAGTGGCACAGTTTAAGAGCACAAAAGTAAAATACAAAATGTTTATCTGATTGAAAGGGGAACTATCAAGTAGAATTACGTATGAGACTCACGAGTCAATAACACTGCCCTTTCAAAGGAGTATAAAGTTCAATAACTCAAATTTTCTCGAGTAGGTATGGTAATGGAAAGCAATTGGTGTAGTTGATGTAATATGAGCACATATTCTAATTTTCAACAAGGACAGGAGATATTTATTGAGAAAAATCTCGTATAGAAATGTAGTCACTGATTATTTCTGCGAATTGTGAGGAAGTTCAAACTTAGTAATTATAATAATTCAATTTAGCAAACATTAATTCATTCGAATTTAGACTTACGAATTCCTTTTTTTATTATTTTTCCAAATTGAATTCCTATAATTTTCTTCTTTTCTTTTAGTTTTGGCAGGAAGTGACCGCAGCAGTCTAGCGGACACACACTTAATTTGAAGCTGGCGCAATTAATTGGATTATTGACGGCTTAGCCCAGCAGCACGTGATCAAATTAATATTCCGAGTCAAGGAATGAGAATATTGCAGCAATTAATTCACCCGTCAATATCATCATCCATGCATATTCTAAAATCTAAACCATTTTTTTCTTATTCTAAAATGTCAATGTCAATGAAACCCTTCAGTTCCATCCTTGAAAAACAAGAAAAAAAAAAAATCAGCCTCCATTCCATAGCCGCAAAGAATAAATTCAATACAATGCATCCAAATCAAATCTTCATAGTCATGCTTTTGAATTTATTCGTGATTAAGGAGGTTCATTAACCTCTTTAATCAGCATTATTGATGCAACTTTCTTGGATTTTGTTTTTGACCGGAAAACTTGATTAATTAACTTACCTAATCCCCCAACTTTTGTCTTGATTTTTATTGTTTAGGAAAGACTGTCATAATTTCGGACAGGTAGTTCAAAGTTGTCGTTTATGTCACGTGTCCTGGCAGTTCTGAGTTTGTCATTTCCATGTGGCGGCGAATCTCCTGTGAATCTGTAGAGAGGTTATTTCCAACGAGGAGTAGATTTCTTTAATAACCATGATGCGAAAACTTTAAGAATGTCATTAAGGTTTTGATGACTAATTAGGTTTCTACCTTCTATAGATTATAACTTCTAGTTGAAAATTAACCGAGGGAAAGCTATAAATACAGTAACATATCATTAGTAGAATAGCATAAAAAATCATTAGTAGATATTAACATATTTCATAGACTAGATACATTTGTAAAAATAAAATAAAATTATAGACATATGTTGATTGTAAATCTGGTGTAAATCACACATTTGTATTGATGTTTAGGATGGTATTTATACACAAAGATAGAGCTATACACGGTAACTAAATATATACCAAATCATACCAAATCATATCTAAGATATACCATATCGTATCACACCAAATCATGTCAAATATATACCAAATCATATCTAAGATATACCATATCGTATCACTCTCCCTCAAGTTGGACTGGGGTGAGGGACAACTTGGAGCAGAAGTCTTGGAAGCGTGACTTGTGAAGGGGCTTTGTAAGCAAATCACCAAGCTGATCATGAGTAGAGATGTAACGAACAGAGAGTTGGCGCTTGCGCACTAAGTCCCGGACAAAGTGAAAGTCAATCTCCATATGTTTGGTGCGGGAGTGGAAAACTGGATTGGCTGTGAGATACGTGGCACTAAGGTTGTCACAC